CTTGGAACCCCAACCGAGGTGGTACTAAAAAAAGTACCAGGTACTGTACCCAGTGGAAAACCCCCCAAAAGTGAACTGTACCGAGCTGTACCGTGCAGTGGAAAAGCGCCATAAGTGATCTCACACAGCTCCGGCAGTGTGTGCACATCTACGTGTAGCCATTCATCCACATTTCAACCGAGTGGATGGAGAAATTGCTGAAAATACAGACTGATAAGAAAAAAACAATCAAACCTGCTTTAAGACCCAGCAACACAGCCGTAGCTGAATAACTTTACAACAGCAACACTGCTTTAACACAAAAGCAAAACAGCAAGATTTATTTTATTCAAAGTGCACAGACGCACTCGCAGAGATCGATAGCAGCAGAGCAAGCTCAAATACTGGAAGAAAGTCCGACATTTTGAATGCATCTCTCCAGAACAAATAGACACAAAAACACAAAATTCATTCCTGGGGCTCCTGACAAAATCTTGTGAGGTCTTACGAAGTAAAATGCTCACACTGTGTGAGAAACCGAATATCATTTGTGATATTACCTGTAATTCATTGCCATTCTTTTCGTCTCTTAATTCATTGGGGGAAAAATCAATTATCAATCAGCCCATTTGAAATCAGGTGCAGATCTCTGCGCCCCTAGGAGCTCGTGTTTACACTAATCCTGATCGAATGTTTAGGCTGCGCCGGCTTGATTTACTGTTGCGTAACAAACACAACGCATGATTTTGTGAAAGAATGGCTGACTGTGCATGAGGCCTTGCATGTCAAAACTTATTTAGCCACACGTTTATTTAATGACACGTCAGTTTTGCTGGTATCGGTGTTGTTTTACACAAAATTAATAAAATGTGATACAAAAAGCTGAATAACTTTACAACAGCAACACTGCTTTAACACAAAAGCAAAACAGCAAGATTTATTTTATTCAAAGTGCACAGACGCACTCGCAGAGATCGATAGCAGCAGAGCAAGCTCAAATACTGGAAGAAAGTCCGACATTTTGAATGCATCTCTCCAGAACAAATAGACACAAAATTCATTCCTGGGGCTCCTGACAAAATCTTGTGAGGTCTTACGAAGTAAAATGCTCACACTGTGTGAGAAACCGAATATCATTTGTGATATTACCTGTAATTCATTGCCATTCTTTTCGTCTCTTAATTCATTGGGGGAAAAATCAATTATCAATCAGCCCATTTGAAATCAGGTGCAGATCTCTGCGCCCCTAGGAGCTCGTGTTTACACTAATCCTGATCGAATGTTTAGGCTGCGCCGGCTTGATTTACTGTTGCGTAACAAACACAACGCATGATTTTGTGAAAGAATGGCTGACTGTGCATGAGGCCTTGCATGTCAAAACTTATTTAGCCACACGTTTATTTAATGACACGTCAGTTTTGCTGGTATCGGTGTTGTTTTACACAAAATTAATAAAATGTGATACAAAAGAAAGAATAAAACTGTCTTTCGTGCAGGATGTCATCAGGAGACGGACACCGGGGGGAGTGTAGCTGAACCTACTGAAGAACACAGCCAGCATCTCTGACGGACAGGTGAAGGTGCGTCAACACTGAGGGGTGTGGCTAGTCATCTTGTCAGGGCGGAGCTTATGCTGTAGGCTTAATGAGATCAGTGGTGGGTGGGGTTAAGCACTTGTTGGGCGGAGCTTACGGCCTCGCTGCGTTTAGGTTTAGTGGCTCTGCACAGACTAATGTTTGCTAGTGACACTGAAGAGGCTCTGGGGTCCCTGGAGGAGGCCCCCGAGGGCCCGCCGGACAACCCTGTCGTTCTAGCTGTAGCCTAAAACAGCTCGGAAGGACTACATTCAAGATGAAAGACAACGTTGTATTATAGCTCTTATGGGTGTAGCTCACTGAAAGACTGTAAGCAGCAGCCAAAGGTTGTACTCGTGCCTGGTTTAGAATGGTGTTGATTAATTGTAATCTTTCTGTTTGGATGTTTTGATACATTACTGTGTTCATGGAATATTATATGCAGCAAGGAAATATCCATCCCTTATTTCAGAAGAGCACAGCTTGTGTTTTAGTCATTGGAGATGCTCTCTGCGTTTGTTAAAGCTGCGCTGTGCAGTGATAAGGCCGTACATGCTTGATGCATGATATAACACTCAAGCTCAGCTTTCGGCGCATGCCATTTGTCACAGGGCTCTCTCTCTCGCTGTATGGCTGTGATTTGCTCTTTTGCTTCGTGTCTTACTGTCACTCTGTTGCCGTTCAGCTGAAGGTACGGACACTCTGCCTGATGAAATGTCCACAGCTGGTGCGCTTCCCAGTGTGCCACATTCATATTTCAGGATGATTCTCACCTTCTTTCAAACGCCAGATGCATGCTAACACTTAACATTTAGGACTGGTACCTGAAAAACAAATCTGAATCTCTCCGAGTCGTAGACTGGGAAAGTCATGAGAACTATGATCATGATTAGATGAGTGCTGAAGCAGGGTGTCTCCCCAGCGTCCCACGACTGGCTCAGGCCCGGCTGCCTAATGTGTGGCCCTGGAGCACAACACCGTCAGAAGGGTCCATCTCTCTAAACTGAGATGTGTGCATCATCTGAAGCAGAACACATGAGCTCTCCATTGATGTGGTTTGTTAGGAGAGGACAATATTAGAAAATCTGGAATCTGAGGGTGCAAAACAATCTAAATATTGAGAAAATCATCTTTAAAGTTGTTCAAATGAAGTTCTTAGCCATGCATATTACTAATCAAACATTAAGTTTTGATATTTACGGTAGGACATTTACTCAATATCTTCATGGAACATGATCTTTACTTAATATCCTAATGATTTTTGTCATAAAAGAGAAATGTATAATTGTGACCCATACAATGTATTGTTGGCTATTGCTACAAATATCCCCCAGCGACTCAACACTGCTTCTGTGCTGCAGGGACACGTGCTCAGACTGAAATATAGGTGTGTATTCCAGACGCGAATGTGAGAAATCCCGCACGCATGAGTGATTGGAAGCTTTAGAACGCAGCAGACCAGACAACACTTAACTGCTGTCTCGTGCTGTCCGCGTGAGACGGTCGCTCGGCTTTCGGCGCGGTTTCTGCGGTTTGAATTTGGTCTCGAGCCGCACCGTTGAGCGTCTGATGACGCAGCGGCGTCTGATTGGCTGCCCGCGGTCACGTGTCAGAGTGGGTCTGCTGAGCGGCCATATTAGTTCAGCTCAGTTCATTCTCTCACGCGGCCGGACTCCGAGTAAGACGCGCGCTCGTCTCTGCGTTCTTTACCTCACAGTTTACGGTTATATTGCTGCAGCGTTAAAAGCAGATCTGTTAGAGTCACACGGTGTTCGCTCGGCGCCTATACTTGGTCAGTCAGAAGGTAATGGTTTGTGTCCTGTGCGTTGCTTGAGTTGCTCAGATGTTGATGATTAGGTGCTCGCGTGCTGGAGAAGGGCAGCCGCTCGTGACTAACTGACGCTGGTTTCTCTCTCAGTCGGGCGGCAGAATGGCGAGCACTCCGGCCGGACAGCAGCCGTCGTCCCGCGGCGGCAGCACTCCTCTGAGCCCCGCGCGGATCTCCCGCCTGCAGGAGAAGCAGGAGCTGCAGCAGCTGAACGACCGGCTGGCCGCCTACATCGACACGGTCCGCGGGCTGGAGTCCGAGAACAGCGTCCTGCAGCGGCAGCTCCGCGAGCGCGAGGAGGTGCGCAGCCGCGAGACCAGCGGCCTCAAAGCGCTCTACGAGACCGAGCTGGCGGACGCGCGCACGGCGCTGGACGACACGGCGCGGGAGCGCGCACGCCTGCAGCTCGAGCTGGGCAAGCTAGCGAGCGAGCACGAGCAGCTGCAGCACACGTGAGTCTCTCTCTGTGTGTGTGTGTGTGTGTGTGTGTGTGTGTGTGTGTGTGTGTGTGTGTGTGTGTGTGTTACAGTACTGAACCGAGCAGGCAGGCTGTGTCCAGACCGGGAGTTTCTCCTGCGCTGTGAATGTAATTAGTGTGGTGGGGTCGGTAGATGTTACTGCAGGTCTAAATGCGTCCTTTACTGTGTTTTACAATTGATGCAGATTTGCCTGCATGCGTTTGTTGTGTTTTTCTGCATGCACGATTCCTCTTGGGTCTTGGGAGAGTTCTTCAGCTTGTGCACATGAAGGTTGTTTGTGCTGCTCTCACAGCTCCCTCTAGTGCAGAGCTGGGACCGTCTGACCCGGATGGGTTCTGCTGTGGTTCAGCTCACGTTTACACTGGCCGTCGTGTTTAATTGCCCCCGCTCGTCCGTCAGTGGTGTGTGCATCAGTCTGCACCGGCTACCAGCAGCAGCTCGCATTCAATTCAAGCTGGCCGTCGTGTTTAATTGCCCCCGCTCGTCCGTCAGTGGTGTGTGCATCAGTCTGCACTGGCTACCAGCAGCAGCTCGCATTCAATTCAAGGCATTAATGTTTGCCTACAAAACCAGCACTGGCTCTGCACCCCTTTACCTAAATTCATTACTTCAGACTTATGTGCCTCTAGAAGCTTGTGTGCTGCAAGTGAACGGCGCTTTATTGTTCATCTCAAAGAGGCACAATCACTTTCACAGACTTCTACATTAACTGCTCCCTCCTGGTGGAGTAACCTGCCCAACTCAATCCCAGCAGCGTAGCCATCTTCAAGAAACCACTAAAACACATCTGTTCCACCTTTATTTCACCCTCTAACTCTAGCACTCTCTATTCTACTTTATCTACTTAATTTTCTTTGTGTGAAATAATAAATATATCTATCTCACACACCTTGCTAAGTGTACTGTGTCATTTGCACTTATATCATTGCTATTTTTGTTAGTTTTGATTGCTTCTATTGTCCTCATTTGTGAGTTGCTTTGGCGAGAAGCGTCTGCTGAATGTGAATGTGTGGCTAGATTGACAGGAGCAGTGGTTCACTGGGGTTGCTTTCAGGGGTTCAGACTGGCGCGCAGCAGCTGGAGGATGTGAGTTCCCCAGCGGCTGCGGAGTCTCCGTGTGAAGCAGCTCTTTGTTTCAGATGAGCAGATGCGTGTAACACACGTTTGGTTTGCTCTCTAGTGTCGGTCGAGCTTGATCCGAGTGTATGGACCGACTGCTGGCGTCCTCAGCTGCTCTCAGCAGTCGGAGACATTCCTCTCATTCCACAGATCCGGAGCAAGAGCTCAGCGCTTGCTGTGTAGTTCTAATGCTGGTGTCGGTGCTGACCCTGTCCTGACCATGAACACGCCTCAAATCATCCAGCCAAAACCCCAGCATGCTTTTAGAAGCTCATTTCAGTCATAAACCCACTTATTTTTAATGTAGCATTTATAGTTTTCATGCTTCTATAATATGAAGAAAAATAATAATTCTATGTAAAGGAGAAAAAACTATCCAAATGGAAGCCTGTGTTCCCAGAGTCCTTTCCAAACAAATCCTCTTTGAAACTAGGGTTTGCTAGGGTTGTCATTCGGTGGTGGTTTTAATACGTTCGTACTGTTTCATTAAAGCTTGTGTAAGTTGTTAGGCTGCGTTCTCAAAGCGTGAGACTGGATGTGTTTGAGCTGCCTCGTGATGCCATACACGCTAAGATTCGGTGAAATCCGGCTGCTGTATCTGCTTCAGTCTCCTCATTCAGGTTGTTTTTGATGAACAGGGAAACAAACAGAAAAATGAAAGTAATGAGAAAGCTGATATTGTTTTGTGTAGTAGCGTGCGCTCGGTGACTCTCAGCAGGCTGCCGCGTCTGATCCTGCTCTGTCTCTCTCTCGGTCACAGGTATGCCAAGAAGGAGGCTGACCTCTCCAGCTCTCAGGCCCGACTGAAGGAAGCTGAAGGCCTGCTGAACTGTAACGAGGCGGCGCTGAACACCGCTGTGTCTGAGAGGAAGGCGCTGGAGAGCATGCTGACAGACCTGCAGCTTCACGTGCAGGAGGTACATGTTAACAAGACTTTCTCAACAGAGCGCCGAGAAACCCACACTAAGAAATGTGCCATAAGGATTTATTTTTGTTTGTTTAATATTGAGTTACATTCTTACTGCATATCTTTTAATCAGTTTTTATTATTGCGCACAAGTTGTTGTTTTTAAGCTGAATGTATATTAAAAATAATTTACCTAAAAAGAACTACCAAGATATGGCATTATACGTTTAAGATGAGAGGTAGTTCTGTAATAAAAATGCATATGATCAATTATACAGAAAACATCCCGTTGCAAAAATTTATTTATATATATATATATAAGGGCTGCACAATAACGCGCATGCAATATTTAATGCGCATCTTGTCAGAAAGCCGGTTCTGTAAGCAGCGGTAAGTCTCCATCACCCGCAGGCTTTCACATTGAGCAGCAATAACTACACAGAGCCGTTGTTCACTGACGAGCTGCGCAAAACCACCTTCATATTCGACATTTACAGCTGATTACAGAACCGGCTGTCTGAGAAGATCCGCATTAAATATTGCATGCGAATTATTGTGCAGCCCTAATAAATAAATAAATTTATTTTATTTATTTATATATAAAAAATTATTATTATTATTTTTTGAATGCAGATGCACTTTGTGTGAGAAATCACAGTAAAATAATCTTAGCTTTATTTTATAACAGTGCTTTATAAATAAGAAATTACTATTATAAATTATAGCCTCATCAATATGGCACATGTGCGCTGACACCTGTGACGTAAACTAACTCTGAAACATAACCTGCTCTGGAGCATAAGCTTCTGTGACTGCTTGCATACCCTGAAAGTTCAGGTTATCTGTGAAGTACTCTGGGAATGTTACACAATCTGCTCTCTGGATCCACCCTGAGAACACACTGGGCTCTGTGCGAGTGCTGTAGTTTTGATTGGACTACATGTAATGCACATGTAAATAAAGCATTTAGAGTTCATATGAACACATCCTTCAGAATGTGAAATCTGATTGGATTTATTCTGACTGCTGAAAATGAGTGCATGTAAGCATTTCTGATGTGTCTCTGAGCAGAGGAGGTCCTGACTGAAGACCGTCCTAGACCACTGAGAGTTGTTGACTATGCCAGTATGATGACCAAAAAGAGTCATGTTGCTGACAGTCTTTAACCGAAGGGGACACTTAAGGTTGTGCTAAAGTGGTCAGATGTGATGAAAGGTGGATCAAGAGCTGCAGAGTTTAGCTTAGTTGATTTTCTAGAGGGGGCCCATATTTATTATTTATGAAAAATATCATAATTGTTAGGGCTGTCGCGATTCGTTGATTTTATTTGACTATTTGATTTTTAAAAATCCTCGACTTCATTTTGCTCGCGTCGACTAACCGCCAAAATACCGGAAGTGGCGCATTTCACAGACGAGAATCCATAAAACACATTATTAGTCTGTTTTCCAAGGCTGCATGATATATTAAACCCATTTAAAAATAATTATTTTTAATTGAGCATAATTGTGAATTCACAAACGCTACGATTTAATTAAATAATTCTGTGCGACACAGTTCTAATACAGTATATGCGCTTTAATTATTTACATGCGTGTAGGTTAAGTACATGCGTCACGGTAGTTCCACAGGAACCGTTATCATTCACACGTGTGGAGCGGCTCAAACTGCATCTCTGCATGTTGTGAGTTTGGGTTTATTCTAACCTTCATCTGGGAACGCAGCGTGCACCATCTCCTCAGATTTGTAAGGTAAATCATCGCGGTTTACTCTCACTCTGACTTTACACGGTGTGATGTCCGGGGGGGGTAGACCAGAACACGTGGATATGTTGTCATTCTTACACTGATACTGAACTCTGATTTCAGTGATTTGGACTAAGAGATGGACACTTGCTGCTTGCACTGTTGCACTTTACTTTTGCTTTAAAATAAGGATTTCATAGAAATTTGGTTTAATAAAATATTCTTAAGTGAAAAAATTTTGGTGGGAAATTAATTGTTTAGATTAATCTAAATAAAAATGTTAATTAGTGGCAGCCCTAATTGTTGTTTTAATGATGGGCAACAGTATGTCACTCCTTTTGTAAAATCCAAAGAAAAACAGGCTCATGTTTTCAACTGTCGTGCAGCACATTAGAATGCAAGATTCAATAAATGGGGGCAAAAATGCCTTTGTGTGAAGCTTGTCTTTCAAATTTATATAATCTAATATAATTGATTTTATACATTTAGTTCTGTAAGTTCGTTAGGGAGTTATATTTTGGGCTCAATGTTGTCTTTCTGCTCTGTTTGCAGAGAAAGTTCTACACTAGTGTTTATTCTGAATAAATCAGCGTTTGAGCAATCCATTCATGAAGACATTCCCTTGCTTTGTTCATGAATGATTTGTGTGTTTGAATGATTCAGTGACTCCTTTATTACAGGGATTCTCTGCCAATTCTTGTTTGGGTTTTAAAGCAGCACAATGTCATTTTTCGACCTTAAAATGTCTAAAATTCAGTGGTAGAATGCCTCTTAACCGGACGAATGCTCTCAAAATAATGAGTAGTTTTCGGGCACTGGCTGTAACCAAGATCTAAACTACTTCACGTCTGAACGGTTATTCAAATAAAGAGGCTCTGTTACTTTACAGCCTTATAATCTTATGACGATGTTCGATGTATAGGCTATAATGGACATTATGGCTGTATGATTATGCGACAACATTTTATTCTATTATACAAATTACACCCTTTGCAAACAATGCTACATACGATCTAAGCGAGCCAACAAACTAGGCAAACATACTAATGTTCTTTTTGTCAGTTTTATTCAGTGTTACTCCAGAACTGAAAACTACAATGTAATGATGTTTGTAGAACATAGAGTAACCCGCGGACCGAAATCCCGATTTGGCTAGATGCGATTATTAAATCTCAAAGGCTGTGATTTTTAATGAAATGAATATCTGCACAGCGTCAGTAGTAAATGCTGCTCATCTCTGCGAGTGCTGTGAGTTTGAGTCGCTTATAACGTGCTTCTGAAAAACATACATACTCCAAACATCCTCTCAAACTTAATGAGAAGCGTTTATAAAGCTTTTGTCCAACAAAAGAACATTTTAATAAGATTTTACTCCACAACATCAGTCGAGTGTTTAAAGTAACTAACTTCATTTTCTGATCTGATGTGGCTTCTTATCTTAGAATGAGGCAGAACATATATTCTATACTGTAAAAAAATAAAAATAAAAAAGGCTGTCAATTAGCAATTGATTATCAATGTACATATGAAAATACCCGAGATGGCTTGAAGAACACAGATAAACAAAACATTGTCGCAGTCGAGTGTTTCTGTTTTATCATTCAAAACGATACATTTCGATCCATCTTTTTATTCAGTCACAGCAATAGCTGGATGTGTTTGTCCATATTAGGGATTTCCTGGCGTGTCAGGAGTTCCTTTAAATCTGTGATGCATATGTGGATTGTCTGCGTGAGGGTGCCCTCTGGCGTCCAGTATGAATGAAACGGACATTACAGTACATGTGCTTATAGTGCTAAATAATGGCCTATCCATCCAAAATAATACTTCTCTCAAAATAAGATTTTGTATAATCCATGTTTTTCTACAATGTACAGAAGTGTACTGGAGTTTTTTTCTTTTTTCTAAGTAGCATTTTATATAGCAAATCGCAAAAAAAAATACTCTGTGCCAAGCCATCAGAACTGAACTGAAGTGAAGCCCGTGGTTAAAAGCCGAGGTATGTATTGATCCGTGGGCTAAGTGTATTGTTGCATACTGTGCAGACCTGCTAACCTTTAGAAAATATTTAGCATTAAATCTTGCGTTTTGCACATTGCAGGTCTTGTTTTGCATGATTTTGACTTTAGCCATCAAGGAGCTTCAGGTAGTCTCGTCCCGTCACACTGATGTGAATTGTTCCAAGGTTGACAAGTCTGCTGATATGAATCGGATACGTGCATTATTTGCTTCCGTCACAGCAGACAGATCAGGTATTCCCCTGTTAATGCGAGTTGGATGCCAAATGTTTTTGAAACCTCTCATGGTACAGATATCTACTACAAATGAAACTTCTCTAGTTGACTAGCAGAGTAAGTGATGTAAGGAGTAAACTATCACATTAAAGGTTTTTGAATTCTTTCAATAAGTTAAATTAATTTCTTCAAACTCTGTTTTTCTGAACATGGTGTTAATGAAGTGTGTGCAGTTTGGTCTTTTAATATCACGGTCTAATGCGTTGATCCACGATAAGCATTTTACAAGTTAAGTGTGTAGTGTAAATGCAGATATCGGATACAGGTCACTTTTTAAAAAGTGTAAGGGGGGTCATAATCAGATATAGTAAAAAAAACAATCAGATTTGGGCATCTGGACTGCAGTGTAAATGCAGCCTATTAGAGCTTCATTCAGTTCTGTGTGACTGAAGACTTGAAATCAGCACTCTCACAAACCCACGACTGCACACTTGTTTATTAATGAAGAGAGGTCGGGACGCCTCGGCTGCTTACCCTCTTCATTTGTAGGCCTGTTACACACTGATGAAGAATGATCTGTAATGAACCGGGTTGCTCCTGAAGGCATAACGGGGCGGTACTGTCCCCCATTGAGAGAGCATCAGGGGCGCTGGAAACCATTTGAGTTTACACCAAAGATTCATGATGAGATGAGCTGAAACGTGTAATTACTTGTAAAAGAATATGGTTTGAACTAGGGCTGCATTAAATTTCTAATCGTGATTACGGAGACAACGATTACGTAATCGTTCGAAGTCCACGTTGAGTGCGCTTTTTTTTTTCTTTTTTTTTTTCTCTACAGGTTATTAAGGGTTTTTCCATTGTTTTAGTTTGTATAACATTGTGAATATTTTTTAACTAATTTTTTTATTATGATTTATTATTAAAAGAAAACAATCCAATGAATGGTTGACATTTGAGGCTTAATATTGTAGAAAAGCAATACGTTTTTCAGTTTGAGTTTTCAGCTTTTTTTATTTTCATATAAAAATATGGAATGCCGTTGCTTCAGACAATGGTATAAACATCAGTCAATGTAAATTGTGATAATCATAATTAATAATTGCAATTACAGTTTCATGGGAATAATCGGCAACTATGATTTGTCATAATTGTGCAGCCCTAGTTTGAATACTCTTGCACCATGTTACACTGGACTCGAAGCCAATTTTCCAAATCCACTTGTCCTGTTGCTGGCCTTGGAAGTCTTCAGCGGCTCTGGTGGGAAGTCGCACAAACATGTGGAGTACGTCAGAAACGGGGAATCTGTTTACAGTATGCTACTCGACGCATGTGTCCAGTGTAGAAGATCACTGCGGATAATGGGTTTATCATTTAATAATGATCATAAAATAATAAAATGATCAAAACAGTCAATCAACATTAATATTCGGGAAGACCTTTAGCCCAGTTATTTTGGGCGGGGTCAGTGAGGGACCTGGGTAATAGATTATAAACCGCTGTCATGAATCCACTGCACCACCAGATTAGGATTCCCACACATTCTCGTGGATCAGTAGGAAATCTGTTTTACTGCGTAAACATGAACAAGTCTGGATTTAATATCGGAAGTCCGTTGTACGTTCTTGCCATTTACAGACATTTCAAAGCGTTTTATTTTATTGAAGTCTCATGCTCACTACGGCTGCGTTTATTTGATCAGTTCAACAATTAGAATAATGCAACCATTATAATTGTATTTATATAAATGCTTAAGTAAAATGGAAACAGTAGTGTATTTGCACAAGTATGTGATCTGAGTGACGGCACTTTCTCTTCCTCATTTACAGCGCAGTACATTTACAGTACAGTTCATTTACAGCAGTTCACTCCGCTCACCAGAGAGCAAAACAATTCAAAAGAACTCGACCAGTTAGTATGACGAATGCCTAGGCATGGTCATTGTGTACATATAAAATAGATTATTGAGAGGGAGCCTTATTTAAATTTTTTTTTTTTAATCCGCCATGAATCTTTAGTCATTCTTGCAGTCATGTTCACCTTCTCTGTATTTTGGGTAAACATCCCTTAATCACTTTATTTCTGATAATACTAAATTCCATCTCTTTAATTTTGGCTGCTAATCATCTATTGATGACGTTTAATAGATGAGAAATTCTTAGACATGTAATTGCATTAAGTCCTCCGCACAATCTGACCTGTGCTGCAGCCTGAAATTAAACCACTCCGTGCTGCTTTCATCTGGCCAGAGGAGAACTGGCCCCCGACTGAGCCTGGTGTCTCCAGAGGTTTCTTCTCCATTTCTGTCAGAGATGGAGTTTTGGTTCCTTTGGCTTGCTTGGTTGGGGACACTTGACTGATTGCACAGACACTATTGAAGAGAGCTGAACTGGATGATAACATCATGGAATCATCAATGAACTGACTTTAGCTGGAAAATGACTTCTTGTCTTACATTATTGACAAACAATTTTCCTGTTTGACTCTGTAAAGCGCTGTAGAAATACAGGTGACTGAGCGAGTAATGAGTTTTTAATGTTTGAACGCAGTGCTCTGAGCTGATGTCTGCATGTGATTTGTTGACAGGAGATTAAGGACACACGGCACCGACACGAGACGCGTCTGGTGGAGGTGGACTCGGGCCGTCAGATGGACTACGAGTTCAAACTGGCTGCGGCTCTGGCTGACATGAGACAGCAGCACGACGAGCAGGTCCAGCTCTACAAGGACGAGATGGAGCAGACCTACATGGCCAAAGTGAGCACACCCATTCACTGCAGCGTTGTGACACATTCACACGTCTCGGAGTTTCCTCCAGTGTTTGACTTCCTCTGAGAGCTGCTTCAGTTCCTCTTTGCATTTCTCTGAGACGTCTGTGTGTTTCAGCTGGAGAACGTGCGTCTGTCGTCGGAGATGAACAGCTCTTCAGCGAGTATGGCCCGCGAGGAGCTGCATGAGTCCACGCTGAGAGTGGAGAGTCTGTCTGCTCAGCTCACTAACCTGCAGAAAGAGGTGCGTTACTGTCCTTCAGCAGAGTACACCGCTGACTGGCTTCCTGCTTGACATCGAGGCTCATTCCTCACACTATCAGAGACGAAAGTCTAGTTCCTCCTCAGTGTTGCTGCGACGCTTTGTTCGCTCCTTATAGAGTGTTCATTCCTGAGCTGCTCTAAACGGTTTAATTTAATCCTGACGGTCTTCAGGAAGTGTAATATCCTGCTAGTGTATGATTTCGCATGTATGCTGTAAAACTGAACATGATTTTATTGATAATTCACTATTCCTCTAGACTCTAGGTTTGAATAAAATGGCAGATGTGTCGAAAGCAGCATCTGGTCTTAATCGCACACTGTTGTTACTCTGCAGCGATCTGACCATCACTGTCAGACTAATAGATGCTCATCTGCTCTTCTTATGAATATTTTGAATGTTTCTTATTTTACGTTTTTATTTGAATACGCCAATATGGATTTCACCTAGGGTGTCGAAATGGCCCTGAATGAAGTTATATTAGTGTCAGAAAACACATACTTTCCCTGTCTCTGGGACTGAATTTTGTTGATGAACATGATTATGTATGGTCTTTGACAAACCATTGACATAGAAAAAAAAAATCTATAACACTTTTTTTTTTCATCTGAAAATGAAAGTTTATGCAAGTAAAATGTTTGTTTGAACCCAAACTAATATTACTATTAAATTCCTTTCATTCCAGTTGGTAGTTCTCTGATTATATTTTAATGAGAGGTTGCTGATTGGCTACAGTATGGTTTTGGTTAAATATTACGTTATGATAGTTTAATAAAGATTTTGAATGCATTATGAGGGTTAAACATTTTTTCCGCACTCATGTTAGTGGATTAAAGCGTTCACTGCACACGGTTGCGGTCTGGCAGTATGTTCAGGAGCGGTGCGTCTGCAGCAGTGCAGAGATAGTTTCAGCACAGGGTCTATTGCTGTGCTGAATTAAAGTAACAGCGCATCGTTTGCAGTAAATATGAACATGGGTTGACACGAAAATGTAGTAACAGCATAAATGCATATTAAAGTCTAATGCGTTTGTCAACACATATGGCTTTTTGGCTAGGTTTAAAGGCAAAGCGCACTTTTAAATAAACAAGGCAATAATAGATTGCACTCGTGGAGGAAGGAAAACGAAGTTCTTTATGAACCGCAGGACTGCTTGTAATGAAGATTTCAATGCAAAAGGAAAGGCAGTAGAGCTGACTATTTGTCAATGGTAAGTTTGTGATAACGTAAGAAAAGTAGTTTAAGTGTTTTGACACTTGCTTGAGCAACTTAAATATAGAAGTAAATTCAAAAGTAAAAAGCATTGAATAATGTGTTGCTTATATTTATTGTTTAAACATGTCTGTGAAAGATTGTATTACTGTACTGTTTAAAAAAAAATTATAATAATTGCAATGCTGAAAAAGCATTTTCAGTGACGATGTTTGTATTTGAAATCAAACTAATGGATAAATGTTGTGTTTGTGGTAAACAGTCACGGATTAGTAGCGACTCGTGTAATTGCAATGCTGAAAAAGCATTTTCAGTGACTGTTTGTATTTGAAATCAAACTAATGGATAAATGTTGTGTTTGTGGTAAACAGTCACGGATTAGTAGCGACTCGTGTGTGTGTGTGTGTGTGATGAGAAGGTGCGTCTGCAATTCAAAAGCTGTCTGCCTCTCCAGGCCCAGTGTGACATCATCAGAGCTGGCCAATCAGCTCACAGAGAGGCTCCAGTGTTGTGTGATGCGGGCCGGTGGGACTGCGAGCGCCCTGCGGGGGGCTCTTGATTGTTTGAGCTTGACAATGGAAGAAAAGAGTAAGTGTAAAACTCTTTTATTTTCAGAATCCTGACAGTACTTCAGCTGTTTTTAAAACACCCCAGCTCCAGTAACAAGCTACTTTTCCCAACACGTAGCGATCGGAGCATGTGAGCGAAGCGGAGCGGTGTGACGCTTCACTACGTTTTCCGCTCTATGGACATGCGCTCCACTCAGTCGCTCTAAGCAAGCGCTCCGCTAATATTCCGCTCACGCTCACCGTAAACCAATTCCCGCTCAGATCCCGCTCCGTTCTGTAAAGAACAAATTTACGTGCATTATATTAGATTATAAATGACTGCTGCCTATATCTAGCCTACATATTCTGTAGGTCTACCTATTGCTCCGAATATAATTCGAATTAACAATTTGTTTCTACGATGTCAGCAGGTTTTATTTAATTTTTTTATTTATTATTATTTATTAAGTTTAATCAATAATGATTTTAATAAGTAATTACGAAATATAATAATTCGTTCCACGATTTAGGCCTACTATAGGGAATGAACGAATTAACGAACGAATGAATTCGTGGCAGCTAAGCCTAAACAAGAGAATGAATACTTAATTCGTGGCCATAATTTAGACTAAACGAAAAAATGTATTCTTAATTCGTGGCCATAATGTAGTCCTAGCATAAAAGAGAACTAGCCTATTCTAAATTCGTGGCCGTGATTTTGTCTGCATGTCATGATCGGGGCTCCGTACAACCGAATATAACCTTAGCCTACCTGTTTATTCATTTATTATGGTATGTAACTAGCTCACCTTTTGCTGCACCATGTTTGCATACATCTTCGTGCTTTCTGTAATCAATATGAATCTGTACTAACTTTAACAGTCTCCCCGCACTCCCTCTCAGTTTCTTCTCCCTGCTCATTCTTAACTTTGATTTTTACTTTACATTTATGTATAAGGCTTGCAACTTCGTTGAAACAATATCTGAACTCCATAACTGCTCTACTATTCTCGATCTCTACAGATTCTCGATCTAAAGTAACAGCGCATCGTTTGCAGTAAATATGAACATGGGTTGACACGAAAATGTAGTAACAGCATAAATGCATATTAAAGTCTAATGCGTTTGTCAACACATATGGCTTTTTGGCTAGGTTTAAAGGCAAAGCGCACTTTTAAATAAACAAGGCAATAATAGATTGCACTCGTGGAGGAAGGAAAACGAAGTTCTTTATGAACCGCAGGACTGCTTGTAATGAAGATTTCAATGCAAAAGGAAAGGCAGTAGAGCTGACTATTTGTCAATGGTAAGTTTGTGATAACGTAAGAAAAGTAGTTTAAGTGTTTTGACACTTGCTTGAGCAACTTAAATATAGAAGTAAATTCAAAAGTAAAAAGCATTGAATAATGTGTTGCTTATTTATATTGTTTAAACATGTCTGTGAAAGATTGTATTACTGTACTGTGTAAAAAAAAATTATAATAATTGCAATGCTGAAAAAGCATTTTCAGTGACTGTTTGTATTTGAAATCAAACTAATGGATAAATGTTGTGTTTGTGGTAAACAGTCGTATTAGTAGACAGTCGTGTATGTGTGTGTGTGTGTGTGTGTGTGTGAAAGCTGCTTCTCCTCTCACAAGAGACACCTAAGAGGGGAATTACCCCCATTTTCAAAAATTAAATTCTGGCCGTGAGTAAATCTCTAAAAATCCTGATTGGAGTATCACTATAAATAGTTATAAATGATAAAAAAAGGCTTTAAAAGATCGGTATCGGCAGATACTGCTGTCTGTGATCAGTGATTGGCATCAAATCCTGATTGGAGCACCGCTTATTACAATAGCTCACCCAAGTTTTCACGTATCCTCATGTCGTTCCAAACCTGTACGACTGACTGACTTCTGTTGAACACGAAGAAGATATTTTAAAGAATGACGGAAACCAGAACGGAGTGTTGTCAAACTTTCATTTTTTGAGTGGACTTTAGCTGGAAGTCATTGAGCACAATTATAGTGATTTGATTACTTTGGTTTTCTGGTTTGTCTTCTCTCAGGCGCGTGCGTGGCAGGATCAGATCCGTGAACTGGAGGCGGCTCTGAGCCGCGAGAAGGATCTGAGCCGCAGGTTACTGGCAGAGAAAGAGCGAGAGATCGCAGAGATCAGAGCCAAGATGCAGCAGCAGCTGGATGAGTACGAGCAACTGCTGGACGTCAAGCTAGCGCTGGACATGGAGATCAACGCGTACCGGAAGCTGCTGGAGGGAGAGGAGGAGAGGTGAGGCTGGCTCTGTGTGTCGTGTGCTGTGTGGCTGGGGACTGGTGGTTTAACAGCTGCTCTGTCTCTGTCAGGCTGAAGCTGTCTCCCAGCCCCTCGGCTCGTGTGACGGTGTCCCGGGCCTCCTCCAGCCACAGTGTTCGCACCGCGCGAGGGAAGAGGAAGCGTGTGGATGTGGAGGAGTCCGAGGCCAGCAGCAGCATCAGCATTGCTCACTCCGCGTCTGCCACTGGAAGCGTCTGCATCGATGAGCTGGACGTGGATGGGAAATTCATCCGCTTGCACAACAGCTCTGAGCAGGTGCGTCTGTCTGTGTGTGTCTCACGCACTCGCTCACAGTATTCAGAGGAGTGATCGTGATTGTTGCTCAGGTAGTGATAGTCAGGTTAATCACCGTTATAAACCAGGGGTCTGCTCAGGTCATGTGCTCTACTAATGAGCTGAATCAGGTTTTTGAGAGAGATGAGCAGTGCTGGGGGGCTTTGGAAACCCCTGATCTAAGCTTATGTGGGAGCACAGAATCTGCTTCACCTTTTGCTACTGAAACTCTGCATTATAGTTCTCCACAGCGAGGTAATGTCGCAGCTTCAATATTAGAGGCTGAGAATTAACTTCCTACAACAAGACTACATGTACATTTTAGATCCAGGGCTCCTAGTCCAAAAAAAGTCACTTAAGGAGTAGGGATGCGCCGATCTGATATTCATATCGGGTATCGGCTCCGATAGTGCCATTTTTCTTGGATCGGGTATCGGTCAGAGAGAGAACCAATCCAAATCCGGGGTTTTTTTTTTATTTTATTTTTTCCCTCCTCGATTGTGCGAATTATTCTGTTACTTCTGAAGCCATACGATAGCTTAATGTGAGCTACATATGAATATTTAAGTCCTTACATTAAAGTTCACACAAACTCTTCTCTCCGCTGTGGCTGTCAGTCATTCGTTCAGCCGTTAAACCCTGGTCGCGTTCGGTTACAGCAGTCAGCTTGGTAAAGCTCTCTCCAAGATCATTCTGTGTTCCCATTATACTTGATTTGTAAATGTCTATGATTTTGCAAAAAGGACTATCTTCTTGCTTAATGTTTTGTTACTCGCTACCGGGTGTCTGTGAGAACAAAACACGGGCGTAGAAAAGACTATAAATTGATTTTAACTTGCACAGTAACTGAAATTTAAAACTGTTAAAAGAAAGGCTCAATAACTGTTGCACAGATATAATACACTACGCATCAATTTCTCTTCCCTTTGTGCTTTGCAGTTTTTAACACTAAGTGCTTAATATGCACACATTGTAAGCGGCTTCGTGCTCCTAGACTGTCAACCCTCTACACTGCGAGTAAATCACTCGCATATGTGAATAAATCTTCACTCTGGGCGACTAAATGATGTCTAATATTAGCCGATGGCTAATCAATTCTCAGATTTTAATCGTCAGTGTGTGAGTTGGAGGCTGAGTATATGATTAGCTCAGATATATTTTCACTCACAGAACACTCTGAGCGCTTCAGAGTTTCACTCTCCGTCAAGCGATCTGATATTTTTCAGTTCATCTGAATGGATGCGCAGCGCCCCTGTGTTTGTGTATTTGGCGTAATGTGTTTCTAGTGTGAAGTGCACGACTCGCCGTCGCTTTCTCTCACTGAGCAAAGAGCGAGAGAGAGTCTTACATAACATGCAGAACTGATGCACTACATGTAAATTATATACGTTGTTGTATTTTCCTGTAAAAATAACAGTTCCTTTGGAATTCTTCAGCTTTTAAGAACTGCCGGGTTTTCCTGTAGTGGGCGGAACTAATGCGCAAACGACAATCTCATTGGCTGGTGCTCACCTATTATCGTCCCTGTTTTGATTTCAGCAAATCAGTTCGAGCGAACGCACACAACCTGATTAATATTCATGAATCCAGTAGCTCATTAATCCTTAGTGCGTTTTTATATTGTTCTTATTAGTAGAATTTGTATAATAATAATAATATCTTCAGTGTTATTGTTAGTTTATTTTTTTTACAGGAACACTGAATGACCAAAAAAAGCACCAGTCCTAAGTTCATGATTACCAAGTTTTAATTCTAATTACTAAACTTCTATTATTAAATAATACATTATTATCATATTATAATGCTTGACTGAGTGATATTAAGTGTACTTTCAGATATTTAAAAAGCTGATATCAAACATTATACATGTTTGTAAAATGGCATAACTTTTATAATATAATATATCTCCATCTCCGTAGAGGGTTGACTGTATAAAAACAGTTCGTGCTGCACTGTATTTGTTTTGTCCCATCGTATCATATGTTGTTGCCTTATTAAAAAATGCTATACATTTAAAATAAATGTGTATATACTTGTATATAAATACATTCATGAATGTTTTTAATGAATGGATTTTATAATACAAATAGCAATGTGTAACATTTTACCATATTTAGTGCAACACTTTTATTTGTTCCCCACAAAATAGTTTTCACTAAATGTTTGGATTTCTAAAATTGTGCACTGATTTTTCTAGAATAACTTTTGCTGCCGAATTATCCACTAACCTAGTTTGATAAATTTGTCATAGATTATAAATATACATAGGTCTATATTTGTATTTGATTTTTCTTTATAATGAAGTAGTCTGTATCTAGAAGATTGTGAAAGAATGATTATCAGTTCCACACACACAGAGTATATAAATTATACGTTTATTTAAATGAGGGAAAAAAACTTCACTGGTATCTGTATCGGCCAATACCGAACCCTATGTATCAGAATCGGTATCGGAGGCGAAAAAGGCGGATCGGAGCATCCCTATTAAGGAGCCATTGGCTCCTATAAGAGAGAAAAATTATAACAAATCTTTTAAGTGCCACAGAATGAACACGGTTTCTTTTCTTTTTTAACACCAGTCATACTGTCATGTTTGTCATCTTTTCTTGTCTATATCGGTATTTTAATCCAACTTGTAGATGTCCTGGGAACTAAGGTTCACTTGAAGTGGGAACTAAACGTCTTTTCCAACTTGAACTTTATACAGTTGCAAAGAATTGATTATTACACAGAATCTGTGCAAATATCACAGACCGTAACTATATCAGCATCACTTGGTCATTGAGTGTAGTTTGGGCTCCTAATCAATGCCTCCTATAAATTAGGGGTGTGCCCGAAGCCGAATACCTTTTTCGAAAAGGCACATGACTTCAAAACAAATGAATAATTCTGCTGAATAATATTCGGCTGAGGCTGACACGGTCACTCCTGGTGTTTGCTGGATAACAGGTGAGCCGAGGAATCAGTGCAATGTTACACAAACCTATGAAGTCACTACGCAATAATGAGTGTGACGTGAATGAGTGCAAACTCTATGAATCAAATGAGAACTGCCTTTAACTGAAAAATTTGTTTACTATTGTCACTTTGCATTATTGATGCACTATTTTCCTAATTAATGCTGCACAGTTGCTTTGACACAATCTGTATTGTTAAAAGTGCTATATAAATAAAGGTGACTTGACTTGAGAGCAAATCAAACAACCGCACTGCTGTTGCCTCTCCATGCAATAATTAGGCAAAGCGTCTTCTCGTTGGATAAGAACACGCAGTCTCATGAATAATTTAAGACACCGAGCGTCATCGATGTACTATAGTCCATTGCCACGTCACAAATTGTGACGTCAACACGATGTGGATTTTAAACCCGGAAGATGAAAATGGTGCAAAAAAGCTTAAAATGAACCAGTTTTCTCCAACAGTTAAAATTATGGGATGCTAACGTTGTCTTCTATGATGTGCAACACAAACACCTCTGCTAAAATCTCAGGAGAAGTACTGTGGGGTCTCATGACCCGTTAACTTCAGGCCGTTTATAGTATTAAATGTCTGGAATTGTCTTGATGATTTGCTGTAAACTGAAAGTAAAATAAGATTGTGCTAACTCTGTTGGTGCTCTGTAGCACTCGTGTCAAACTGCGGTCCTGATGTTCAGGAATGGCTGCTTTAACTGATTTAATAAAAGTGAATTCATCAAGCAGCAAAAACCGCTGTGCACTTTAAACCTCAGTCACGGTTTCGGTTCAGATGCTGTCTTTGTAAACTGCTTCACGGCTAATGTGTCGAGCCGTGTTGATTCACAAAGCTGCTGTGGTGTTCGTTTTTCTCTTTCTAATCTAGTAATTAGTTGAATGAAACTCCATTTTCTGAATAATTGTTCCTCCCCCTTCAGGATCAACCCATGGCAGGATTTCAGCTGACTAGGACTATCGGGGATGTTTCTGCTACGTATAAATTCACTGCTAAATACGTGCTGAAGGCTGGACAGAAAGTAACGGTACGTATCGTCACACCCTTGTAGATTTGTGCAGTTGATTATGAATAAAACACTGGGTCACCTGACTGGACATTAGTGGGGGAACATGCCTCTGGCGTTGGGTCATCTGTATGCGTGTTGGTTTCTGTCAGATCTGGGCATCTAATGCAGGCGTGAGCTCCAGCCCTCCTGCAGACCTGATCTGGAAGAGCCAGAGCTCGTGGGGGAGCGGCGAGAACGTTAAAGTGCTTCTGCTGAGCCCAGGAGGAGAGGTGAGACCTGCATCTGCTGTCAGATGTGACGGCCATCACATTACAGGACTGTTCTGAAGTGTCCCTGTCCCTACAGGAAGTGGCTGTGAGGAGCACAGTATTCAGGACTGCAGTGGAGGAGGAAGATGAGGAAGAAGCGGAAGCTGAAGTCATTGAGGAGCGTTTCTTTCACCAGCAGGTCTGATATCAACGAATACATCTGCTTTGTGCGTGTATGTGTGCGTGCGTATGGGAGAGTGTGTGTGTGTGAGAGCTTCTGGCTCAGTGTCCTGCTCTGTGTTTGCACAGGAGGATCCTCGTACCGCCAAGAGAGGCTGTGCGATCATGTGATCAACTCTACAGCCAATCAGAGCAGGCAGCTGAACCACCATAAAGCTTCCTGTGTGGTCTTTTCAGAGTGAAGTCTTTCTTTTCTTTATTTTGAATTATGCTTTTTAAAGTCTTTCACTTCAGTTTGTTTTCAGATTTTGTGAAATGTCTATCAGCCTCAATTTAAAGAACCAAATGTTTTTCTTTTCATGTGCAAGTTGTAACTGTGAGGACTCTTTTCTAGACTCGTCCACGTCAGATTCTGTGACTAACCCTTTTTTTTTTTTTTTTTTTTTTGAAATCATGTTTATATTAATTTTATAAGATTGCATTTTAGGTCTCTTTTATAGACAGTTTTTATAATGGCTCAGTTTTTAGTGAGTTTATTACGGACCGATACATTTGCATGCTAGTTTGAATGATATTAAAGTTTGTGATTGTATTTAAAGCAGCTGTTCAAAAGTAATTCACTACATGATGGCGGGCCTGACGCGTCTCTTCAGCAGCGCATGATCGACAGCCTGTCACATGATCCGCTCCAACTGCAAGACTTCACTCAGTCCTCAGATTTCAGGGAAATGTAGCACAAGTGACTTGGTTTTCTGTGTGTGAGGTGTAGGGTGTTTATTAGATGTGATGTATGAACCGCTGTCATTATTCCTGCTGAAGAGATGCAGTTTTGGGCCTGAAACTCCTCTTTCTCTTTGACTGTATATTAGCGCTCCGTGTCAGATCTAATATGATCGCTGGACGCAGTGGGGAAGCTATGAAACCTCCAGATTCAGTACTGTATTTTTTTTTTTACAGATTGTCAGAGCTGAAATGTTTTGTATTGCTTTCGTCTGTACTATCTAACCAACACTAGCCTTACGCATTTGTTTTAATTTGAGGTTTAATCTTTTATTTTAAGAATTGTCACATGCATGCTTTATTTTTCTGCAGCCTTTATATTTCAAATGATCAAATAAAGTGTTGACTATTTTCAGGCTGTCCTCTTCTTTCATTGCTTGGTCTTAATAATGTGCACCTGTATGGTTGAGATGTGAGGTTTAGAAAAGCCCTCTTGCAGCTCCTCTGGAATGGGAAATGAACCGTGTTGGATGAGCTGGTTTGTGTCATCAGCGACATCTGATATCTGGCTTTTTACAATTATCTTTGTTCAGCTAATGCTTTCTGGAGCAAAAGCTGCTTTAACTGAAAAACTGGGGAGGCACTCGCTCGGCTAACCAGTGTATAAACAGACAATATTAAATATGAAATCCTCTCATTTGCCCCTTAAAAGAAGCAGCGGTGAGCTGGGACAGTCCATAGGAGAGCAGCCATTCACCAGCCGTGTGGACCTTTATCTCTCATATTTAATAGCTCCACATCAGTCATTAACACCATAATATCACATGATAAAAACCATTTCAATTCCTAGTGAGGGATGTTTATCGCATTCAGTTGCCACCTGCTTCAAGTAACTGCTGTGGAAACTTAACTTCAGTGCACTTCAGACAGTAGGGTTGTTCCTTGCAGTCCGCTGAAGATGGATTTAACCCACCAGATATCTGCAGCTGTGACAGTGAGAGTCTTCTAGTTCAGTCCTTCTGAGGCTGCAATGAACACCATGAGAACACGCTGCAGTCACAACATGAAAATGATTTGAATAATGCTTCATATTAAAATCTATATTAATGCAACACAAAAACAAATATAGGTAATGACAACCGCCTGTGGTCTCCGCCACGCATAGTTTAGCATTATTTACAACAAATCAAAAGGAAACATCTGCCGCACTTCAAAGTCATTTCTTGTCCTGCATTGCATGAACTCTTCTCCCAATTCTTTTCCATGAACTGGAATGAGCGCAAAGGATTGTGGGTGTTGGGAGGACACTCCTGATGCATTTTTCTAAATGAGCTGAATGAAAGCTGTGACACGAAGGTCTTTGGCAGACTGATGATGCAGCAGCTCACATGTTTAGCCTTCTGAGAGAGTCGGCTCAAACACACACATTAAACACACCTGATCAGGTGAACACGAGGGGAGTGTGAACTAGGGCTGGGTAAAAAATTTGATATCTCGATATTAATCGATTCTCATTTTTACGGAACTATATCAATTCTTAAATCCTAAGAATCGATTAATCTAGCCTGTTTTCAGTTAAAGGATGGAACGTTGAACACACAACACACCACCCACGAACACACAACACACCACCCACGAACACACCACCCCACCCACGAACACACAACACACCACCCACGAACACACCACCCCACCCACGAACACACAACACACCACCCACGAACACACCACCCCACCCACGAACACACAACACACCACCCACGAACACACCACCCCACCCACGAACACACAACACACCACCCACGAACACACCACCCCACCCACGAACACACAACACACCACCCACGAACACACCACCCCACCCACGAACACACAACACACCACCCACGAACACACCACCCCACCCACGAACACACAACACACCACCCACGAACACACCACCCCACCCACGAACACACAACACACCACCCACGAACACACCACCCCACCCACGAACACACAACACACCACCCACGAACACACCACCCCACCCACGAACACACAACACACCACCCACGAACACACCACCCCACCCACGAACACACAACACACCACCCACGAACACACCACCCCACCCACGAACACACAACACACCACCCACGAACACACCACCCCACCCACGAACACACAACACACCACCCACGAACACACCACCCCACCCACGAACACACAACACACCACCCACGAACACACCACCCCACCCACGAACACACAACACACCACCCACGAACACACCACCCCACCCACGAACACACAACACACCACCCACGAACACACCACCCCACCCACGAACACACAACACACCACCCACGAACACACCACCCCACCCACGAACACACAACACACCACCCACGAACACACCACCCCACCCACGAACACACAACACACCACCCACGAACACACCACCCCACCCACGAACACACAACACACCACCCACGAACACACCACCCCACCCACGAACACACAACACACCACCCACGAACACACCACCCCACCCACGAACACACAACACACCACCCACGAACACACCACCCCACCCACGAACACACAACACACCACCCACGAACACACAACACAGCGCAGAGTAGCAGCGGCGGTGCTAGAGGCCTGTTAGCACGCAGAGAGAGAGAGGGCTACATATATAAGACCTGCATTTACAAAATGTGCAATAGCACACTACACTGCACTACACTAATAGACTTTGACTATTCTTGATCATTTGATCGATTATTTGAGCTGAACGTCATTAAATAATATCTGCATGAAGATTCTTCAAAACTTCTCCTTTTGTTTCACTGAATACGAATAGTAATATACCTAATTCACATTCTCACGCACACTGAATTCTCCTAATCTGTAGCAAAGGGGCATGACTGAACTCATTGTTAGCATTATTTATGAGTCATTCTGTTCTAGAAAGAGAAGGAACGAGTGCCAACTCATATAAAATAAACTCTTTTAGTGTTTGACTAACTAGGCGAGTCTTTGCTAAACAAGACAACAGCTGTTATATCCAGAGTAAAGATGAACCCAGAACACTCTGATGTACGCAGTCAGGCTGTCAGGGATTCATCAGTCACTTCAGTCACCATCCAGGATAATCACCCGATCACAGTCACCTGAGTTCTGATCACCCGCACCTGCTGTCACCAATCAAGCCACACTACAAATACACACACAGCACGTTCTGGGCTCTCTCAGCTGAACTCACCTAGAAAGACTTACCTTCTGATCCTCCTGCGATCCTCCAACAACTCCTTGGAATCTGTTCCACGATCTCCAACGAACCGGGCATAAGATACTCTCCATCAGAACTCAGATAAGAACCCTGGAATCATTCCCTGTGTTGACACTCACCTGCCTTTACCTCACCCGTTCCAGTCCTCTGCTGCTCATATCAATAAACCATCCTGTTTTGCACTTATCTGTTGTGTCTGGCCTTGCTTTGTGACACAGGCGAGCTGTGTAATAGACAGACATTTCTGAACTTCTGCTCATGCATCTGCAAAGGATACACAGGGCCGACAGGAATTTCTTTACTAGTAATTTACTTTCATTCTGACAGTGCCGTAGGACACATTGCCATATATAAGATTTTCAATCCGATCTTTTATGATTCATTGAATTTACTGGATGTGTTAGCAGCACTTCAGCTGCTATGAGAGCTGACATGGCGAGCTGTGTGTAATAGACAGACATTTCTGAACTTCTGCTCATGCATCTGCAAAGGATACACAGGGCCGACAGGAATTTCTTTACTAGTAATTTACTTTCATTCTGACAGTGCCGTAGGACACATTGCCATATATAAGATTTTCAATCCGATCTTTTATGATTCATTGAATTTACTGGATGTGTTAGCAGCACTTCAGCTGCTATGAGAGCTGACATTATCAGCAGGATTCTTTACTGCCTTTTCCTCTATGCTACTTCAGGAATAGCTCTGATGCTTAGACAGTGTGACATTAAGAGTGTTTAAGTCATTAAAACAGCAGTTATTTGTATGTTTCAGTTTGAGAGCACGAGCGCCTTCCGTCTCTTGTGTCCACAGGTGAGTGTGTGTGCTTTACCTTTAGTGAAGCTTGCGAGCACGGGCAGCGGTGTCTCTGTTAAACCACGTCAAGTCACCTTTATTTATATAGCGCTTTTAACCATACAGATTGTGTCAAAGGAACTGTACAGCATTAATTAGGACATTAGTCATTAATGCAAAATCACAATAGTAAACACTCAATTTCAGTTAAAGGCAGTTCATCATTGAATTCAGTGATGTCATCCAGCTCAGTTCAGTTTAAATAGTATCTGTGCAATCAAATCGCTGGAAATGAAGTGTCCCCAACTAAGCAAGCCAGAGGAACCAAAACTCCATCAGTGACCGAATGGAGAAAAAACCTTGAGAGAAACCAGGCTTAGTCGGGGGCAGCTCTCCTCTGACCAGACGAAACCAGCAGTTCAGTTCCAGGCTGCAGCAAAGTCACATTGTGCAGAGGACTAAATGTGTGCATAATCTACTCATTAAATAAGCAAAGTCTAAATAAGTTGATCAGATGACCAAAGCAAGGTTTTCTTGCATAATTAACATTTTAATTGTTTGGTCAGACAATTACACATTCATAAATCGGGGATTAAACGTGGAGTTATGTTCTGTATGCTAAATATGAATATATAAACAAGCATATGTGCACAATACCTATAACTGCACTTTGCATCTGCTGAGTGCTGATCGAGACTGACACATGCTAAATGGCCGACTGACCAGGTACACATTTATTTCGTTCACGAACGAGATGTACCAGTTCATTCAACTCGTTCATGAATGAGAAGATCTCTCGATCTCGTTCAGACTCCAAAGAAACTCGTTCAGTGAAGGGCGTATTCGTTCACTACATTCAACAAATCACGTGCTCCGTCACATCTCAAACTCTAAGGCTTGAGGTTTAGTCATTCTTTGACAGTCCACTGAGCTACCCGGTTCACTGAACTGCGCATGCGCTGCCAATAGCGCCGTGCTGCTCTGGAGGGAGGAATTTCAGTGAACGAGAAATATGAGTCAACGAGAATGATTCGTTCACGAACAAATCATCACTAGTGTAGTAAGAACTCTAGCTGCCGCATTTTGGACCATCTGGAGTTTGTTTATTAAGCGTGCAGGACAACCACCCAATAAAGCATTACAATAATCTAACCTTGAGGTCATGAACGCATGAATTAACGTTTCTGCATTTGACATTAAGAGCATAGGTCGTAATTTAGATATATTTTTGAGATGGAAAAACGCAGTTTTACAAATGCTAGAAACGTGGCTTTCTAACGAAAGATTTCTATCAGATAGCACACCTAGGTTCCTAACTGATGACGAAGAATTGACAGAG